CACACACACACACACAGGTAGATAGTGGGAGATCTGGCTGACTGCACTAACCTGCATCATGCACACAGGTGAATATCCACACAAAGCTTACCTCTGAGCCCAGGAGAGCCTCTGTTACCAGTGATATCGGTTTCACAGCAGATGACAGCACTGGCACTGATCATGAAAGACAGGTAAAGGTAAGTGCATGTAGCAATGACCTGCATTTCTTATAGCAGCGTAAGATACTAAAGTAGAGTGCAAGTACAGTAGGATATGGGATGCCAAAATGTAACTGACTGGCCATTATGGAGAGACAAAGCAATAAAACCAGTACTCCTTATGATAGCTGGCTTTATCTTAGCCTCCTCACTTACTAGAAATGCTTATTTAACCCAATGGCAATACTTTGACGGGCTATAGTGAGCAGTGGCCAAGACTTGGTGTAGTGTAGATGGATCAATTATAGTGCACAGATGTAACAATTGGCCCCTCCAAATGTGGGCTAACTTGCCCCAGTGCTGGTACCCACCTCACCGTCAGTGTTTCAGTTACTGGAGTAGTTTACACAGGATTACCGGGGGATAATCCATCTACAGTATTTAGAGACATGAGTCGCCATCTGTCTGTATTTATCACAGCGAGGGAGCCGTCAGCGCCGGCTGACTGCAAACAAATATTTCTAGGGTAAGACGAAGCTGCGTGGCACCGTGTACGAACAACGGTAAGAACAAGCTCCACAGCTGCGGTTGGTTTGAGGTATCGGTCGTTCAGCTCGGTTGACCGTTGGTTGTCACTCCGGTTGAACCCAACGTTTAACTGCGCGCGCACTCCGGCCAGGTTGGTGAGATTTGCTGCCTTCAAATGCTGTCGTAAACCGCTGTATCAACTATAACGCGTGCCGTGTGGAAGTTTTATTCGCAGTTAGCGTCGAGGCTTATGGCGCAAATGTTTATTTTTAGACCCCGAGGAACACAGGACTAACGTTGTGGTGTACTGTAAGGGTGCACAGTGATGAGAATAAAAAACACACAAGGAATTAAATTGAGGTTAGGTTACGCTAATTAACTTAGCAAGTTGAATAAACAGAAATGAAAGGTACAGTTCTCCAATTTGTCGCATAATGCCAATGCACCCTGACTAAAATGAACTGAAATATGCGTAGATATTTACCACGCCGCTGTGCTCAATCCGCACATTTTCCGACGGCACGCGAAGGCAGCGGTTGTCCAGAGGACTTCACTGCTCCTGCAAACAAATTAACTAAGTAGCTGTAAAATAAACGACTGATGGCTACGCTTTTATCTTATTTCTGACGTTGCTGACAATCGCTAATCCTCCCATTTCGCAGTAAGTGTGAGAAGTCATCTTGAAACATGTTGATATTGATTGAAGCATTGACCGGTGTTAGTCAAGTGTAAAGCTACTTGGTAGTTTATCTCTGCAGTAATTTGCGTTAATGACCCGCTGCGTTGTGCCAGTTCACCTCAATGAATCAGCCTTTGCCTTTTCTCAAACCACACTTCCAGGAGACTCCTGCTGTGAGTTAATTTCTGAAGACCACCTGTTGACAATGAAGTTTCCAGAACAAGAGCCTGCTTTTGTCACCTGCTGTCATCAAACACACACAGCCACCTCTTAAAACACCAGCCCTTCTACCCAGCATACTTATTGCCTTATTGCTGCCATTCCACTGTATCAGCAAATCCTGAAACTTTATCTACCTGCTCGACACTTGCCCAGGTGCTTCATCCTCAGCTCCTCCAGTTTTCATTTGTTTCCCTTCAGAGAACCTCCATTCCCAAATGATGCGGACGGACAGCAAAGGCCGAAGTGCCTCCCCGCACAGGATAACCTACAAGTCTGACTTCCACGCCATCAAGTGCTCATTTGACACTGGGAGCAGCCTACAACCAGGGACCAAAGCTGCTGCTGCCCAACGCTCTGCTGTTCACTCAACCAGGCTGCCAACCAGCCTGTCAGATTCTATGATGTCGCACACCAGCACCAGCACCAGTGCCAGCACAGGCAGCAGAGGGAGGGTTCACAGCACCAGGGGGACCAAGATCAGAGACAACATCTTCCTGCAAATGGACAGCCAGCAGCTGAAACAAGAAGGTGGTTCGGCGCAGAGTTTTGGCTCCACACCCCTCCTTCCTCCCCATAATCCTAGCCCCCAGCTCCAAACTTCACCTTTCTCTGGATCCAGACGCTCAGTCGTCACTTCCTCGTCTGTTCTGAGCACCGTGGCCAACATTTCTCCTCCAGAATCTTCTCTGCAAGATAAACCGTGCAGATCGGAGGAGATAGTGGACATCGACAGAGCTGCTCTGGCTCAGAAGTTCTCTGTAACCCGGAGGTTGTTTGAGGCCAAGGTGATGGAGGTTGAAGGTGGCGGTGGGCAGGTTTCAAAAGGAGGCAAGGGGATGGCAGATGGGAAAGAAGAAGAAGAAGAAGAAGAGGGGAGAGGAGGTCAGATGGAAGAAGAAGAAGAGACAAGTGGGAAATTGAAGCATACGGAGAAGGATAGCTCTGATAAAGACAAATCCATAAACCTACCCATCATAAATAGTTCTTTGCCAAAGCTGCCAGACCAGGCCTCGCAGACAAGGCCCTTTAAATCTATTGTATCAGATGGCCCCGGTAAAGCGTCCAACACGTCTCCCTCCTTTCCTGACAAACATGGTCAAACCACAGGATCACAAACAGAGGAAAAAAGGGCGGAAAGCACAACTCTCGACCTCTGTTTGACCCCTGAGCAACCAGTGAGAGCAGAACTAGTTGACGTGAAGAACGAGTCGTCAGAGAGCGATGAGAATGAAGAAGAAAAGGAGCGGAAGGAGGCCAGAAAGTGGCTTAACGACGAGAGGGGAAAGCACATGAACAAAGTTGCAGGAGAAAGAGTGCAGGACCTCGTGGATGATGTGTTTGTAGAGTCCGGTGCTGAAACGACACCACATACGCTGGAAAACGGAGTGGAACTAAGAGCACGAGACGGTAGGCCAGCTGTTCCCTCAGAAGAACACCAGAAGGAGTTATCAGCCACCATGTCATGTACAAGAGAGACTACGGATGACAGGGAAGGTGGAAGAGACAAGTATCGGCAGGTGAATGAACAATGGGAGGGGCAGAGCAGACAGTTCACTGCAGGGGCTGGGAAATCAACAGGAAAGGGGGACTACAGGGAGAAAAAGACACATGCAGGAGTGAAAGAGGGAGGCATGATGCAAGAGGAGGACATTGACGAGGACGTTGAGTCGTACAGTGTGGGAAAGAGGAAAGGTGGAGTAGAGGAATGCAAACAAAGTCAAGAGGAGGAAAGAACTGAATCCGAGCTGCAGGAGGAGCATGCCAACAAGGAGGTCAAGCATGAGGAGTGCAGGGAGGGCAGTGATGGAAAACACGATGCAGGAAGAGGTGAAGAGGACCAGACAGGAGCTGCAGTTATCTGTGGGATTGAGAACGAGGCCTTCGTGTACGAGCAGGAATCCCACCCTCACCCAGAGCATTCACCATCACCAGGACAGGAATGGGAAAACTCCCAACAACAGCTTTTATTGGAATATGAGGAAATTCCCGGCGTGCCTGAAGTGGCTGATCAGGAGGATGAGGATGAGGATGAGGATGCAGTGGAAGTTGAAAGGAAGAGAAAGGTCAGGTTCTCCTCAGCACCAATCAAGGTAAGGAAACCTCACACATATTTGGGCTTTCAACATTCATTTCTCGTTTTACAGCCAGCTGCAGGGTAACTTTTCTCTAAATTCATGCACTTACAGAAGCTCTTTATTGTAGATTTGCATGACTGCCGGTTAAAGCTGGTGAATCCATATAGGAGACGTGATAGCCCAGAGCCATGTTTCTAATCCATTAGAGGAGGAGGAGGAAAAGCAAGACCTCACATGCTTCATGCTGTCAGCTCAGAGTTCCTTTCATATAAAGGCACAGAAAACATTCCTGTGGGTGTGTACGGCAATAATCTGGCTCAATTCATAACTAACTTTTGTTTGTTAGTAGTCAGTGTAATACTTGACACATGGAAGTTGTGTGTGTGTGTGTGTGTGTGTACATTGGATTTTTTTTGTAATCTTATTATGCTCGTGCAGTATAATCTGCACTTCCTGAATCTCTCTCCCACTCTCCCAGATTACATACATAACATATTCTTGTTGTGTTTTAATAGCTGTGGTTGGTTCTCTTTACAGTCTGCTGTATGGTGAACATACGTGCCAGCTATCAATGCATAAAACAGTATTTTAAGTAGCTCTAAATCGGACGTCGGTGTTGACATAAGTTAAGGCTGTTGCGGTGATTTAAACCGTAATATTGAATGCTGTCTTTCAGGTGTACTGCACTTATTCCAATGCAGAGTACGACAGACACAATGAGGATATTGACCCTGTGTCTGCCTCGGCTGAGTATGAGCTGGAGAAGAGAGTAGACAGGATGGATGTCTTTCCAGTGGAGATAGAAAAGGGTGTGTATCTCCATCTGTTGAGCTGCTCTTTCCCACATCTGTCTTCATTACTGTTGGTCTCTTTGGTGTCCATGTGTGTTTCAGAGCAAAGAAAGAAAAGTAAAGAATCATGGAAAACATTTTTTGTGGCATAGCTCTGAGACAGTGGTTGGGTTAGATAAATAATTCATATGACTACTGTTGTTGTTGACTAATATCTTTTCTTAGGAGACGAGGGGCTGGGCATCAGTATCATAGGAATGGGTGTAGGAGCCGACCAGGGACTGGAAAAACTGGGAATCTTTGTCAAGACAGTCACTGAAGGGGGAGCAACACAAAAGGATGGAAGGTACATCAGCATCAGCCTCTTGTTTACTGGGGACTCAGTGTGGCTCTAATAACATGGGATTGTCTTCCGTGTGTGTGTGTGTGTGTGTGTGTGTATATTAGGATTCATGTGAATGACCAGATAGTGGAGGTGGACGGGGTGAGTTTGGTTGGAGTCTCCCAACTGTTTGCAGCCACAGTCCTCAAGAATACATCGGGCCTCGTCAAGTAAGTTGGCATGTGTCAGTGCAGTGTTGGTGGTGCTGTGGTGTCTTTCCCCATTATTTGTATGAATTGCTGCTACTTTGGGAGAGTAAATGTTCTCATTAGTGATTTGGAGGCGAGGTATTACAGTGCATTTTTGTCCATCCGTATTTGATTTGTCAGTTAAAAACAACAGAGTCAGACTTCTAAATGTTTGTTGCAGGGTTTAAGTTATTTAAAGATGAAACAGAGGTAGCAAGGTAAATATATATTTTCTCCTCCAGGATGTTTTTAAAGGGCCACGAGGATGTTTTAGCCCACACATCATATACAGTATTTTCCCAAGCATCGTGTTTAAAATTGTCTGCCAGCTTTTTAAAAAAATTGAGGTTGTAGGTTGGGATGCCAACAAATCTTTTAATTAACTTAAATTACTCTTCATGACACCCACATGAGCTTTTTATTTGTCCTCTGAAAAAGATTTTTTTCCAAAATAGATTTTCAAGCAATAAAACTTGTGCATGGGATGCTTTAACCAACACCTCCAAAATGTGAGATATTAGTGTTTGCCTTAGTGTGCAAAGACAACACAATCAACTAGAGGGACTTTTTGTTGCAGAAAAATATGTCACAGTAGGAAAAGCATTTAGACAGGCGTAAGTAATAAAATGAATGATAGCTGAATTTCTTTTAGCTGCTTCAGTTTCAGGGTGCAGGTATTGGGCGTGCCAGCTCTGTCATGACTCCCTATACCATCATTAATGTTATAGGTAACACCTGTGCTTTACCTACAAGGCAAACTGTCTGGCGCGATGATTGCTCACAGCTTCGATTGATTCCCCGTTTTTCGGCTGCAGGTTTTTGATTGGCCGAGAGAAGGAGGGGGTGGAGAGCGAGGTGGCACGGCTGATCAATGAAAGTCTGGAAATGGATAAAACATCCAGGAAGGTGAGCTTTTCAAAAGAGGAGTGAAGTTTTGAATCGTGTTAATAATCCCATGTAGTTTGATTGTGCTGCTTTCTGTGTGTGTTTTTCTTTATATATGAAGAGAGGAAGAGCAGGCAGGGATGAATGTACTGATAGTAGCATGTCAGAGAGGGGCTCAGTGGCCGAGGAAGAGGAGGAAGTCGAGGAGGAGGAGGAGGATGAGGAGGATGTGTCTGTTCTTTCCAGCCTGGACAGTTACCAGCTCTGCCTCAAATACCAGCAGGTACTTTACATTCAACATGGATTCATGAATTAAGATCTGTAAACTAGGCATATACAGAAAACGGCAAGCCTACTGTTGGATAGCAGCTCAGCAGTAAATTAAATTAGGATGTTACATTAGAAAATCTCAAATACTGTTTTAGCAATTGTTTATCTCCTTCCGTACAAACCTGTACCCATATCAATCCACGTATGTTTGGTTTTGCACCCTTTCTCTCGCCATAGCTTCAGTCAAAACTACGAAGCAGAGCAGCCCAACTTCACCACGCTAGAGAAAAGGTAGGTCACTCAGCTGAGATTGAGATCTCTCTCTCACACACACACACACACGCACACACAAACCATTAACTGTACTCACTTTAATACACTACCTTTGCATCCACATTTGGTACAGTCCGACCCATTTAACTGTGTATGAGATGCTTCGGTGTGGAGTTACTAGGGCATGGGCCGCGTTCCAACACTTCTCCACGTCAACCCTGCTTTTCTGCCTTTGCCTTGAAGTAATCACCACTGTGACATAACTGGGTTGGCAAAAGCCTTTCAGTAGAAAATCTGGCTTTCTTCTATCCAACTGTGTTCATTTGTTGTATCCGAACTCTTCTGCACCTCTAAGAATATTTTTTGATTCGTGTTACGTAACAACAAAAGGGCCTTTTTTTTTTTTTTTTTGGGGGGCTTTTTTTTTTTTTTTTTATTTGATGAATGACAAGGACACACTGTTCTAATTTCCTGATAGCTCTGAGATCTTAGCATGTTCGTACTGTTGTATGAAGTTAGTAGGATTGCAAACGTTCAGCTAAAAAGCAACATGTACAGAAAGCACGTTTTCAGTACAAGATACACATCAAACTCATCTCCCAGGCCTCTCTGTTCAGTGCTATGTTTAACCTGTTTTGTACTCTTAAAGAAAGCTGATTAATATGAATCTCTAATATAATAACTCAACCCTCACAGGACATACTGTAAGGATGCTATCACCACAGACTCTAATCACAGCCTGTGCCTCTTCTGTGAGCAAACCCTTAGGAAAGGATGTTTATGTTCGTCCCACAGTGCTTCACGGGGTCACGTGCACGTGTAATGTCATCTTTTTTGCGTCCTTAGGCAATGCATCTCCACTCAACTCTCTCAGACCTGGATCTGTCTGATCCACTCCCCATCACTAAAGAGTCAAGTAGTCCTCACTGGAACAAAATCACAGCCTCTCTCTTGCGTCTGCTTCCTAATGCTGGATAAAAACCTTAGCATCTGTGAGATTTTAATAAATAAAAAAAGATGTATATGAGATATGGAAGCGTTACAACTGAGGCCAGAGTCTGACTGTTAGGGAACGGTTATTTCAACGACTGTTTCACGGTTACATATGACTTTCTTGAAAATTACAAGTCTGAATAGATACAATACCCAAAACACGCATGGCTGACAGTTGTATCCCAGAAATTGTCTCCCATTTCAGAAGTTGTCTTTTTCCATCATCAGCTCCATTCTGAAACAAATTCTGGTTCAATAAACATCCCCTAAAGCTTAGCAGTGGCCTGTCAGAAGCTGCTCTGTTGTTAGCGGCTTTAGTTATTTGATAAGACAAAACAAAAATCACAGAAAATGGAGGTGAGAAGACACACCAGGCCTTTACCATCTTTTGCTGGATCTCCCTAATGGACCCTTCTCCAAATGTGTCTGTCTGACTTTAAAACGATTTTACAGAGTACTGTTTGACACTCAGTCTGCAAATACACTTGACAGCACCATTACTGTTTATAAGACATCACTACTGGTTCCAACACCAGCACACATGTTTTCTGTGGTGGTTTTAATCAAACACTGAAATATGTTTTACAGGAGACTTTAGCAGATCCATGGCATACCACACTATGTATATAAACGTAATTAAACTGAATTGATAATAATGTTGATCCTCAGTAAATAGTTTGAGTTATTTATCAAGCAAAACTGCCAAACATTTGCTGGTTGTACCTTTGTTTTACCTGTTTGATATTACTGCTGCTTATTATTTGAAGAAATCATTGTGTGCAAAGAGAAGCTGTGGCAGGCACTTCCAGTCATTTCAGAGACCGATCAATGAAATGATCAACTAATCCAACAAAATAAAGACACTAATCACCAAGAAAAATAAACTAATAAACATTAGTAGCAGGCGTAATCATATGCATTTCCACTGCGGCCTCTCTGCAAGGTACGACCACGCTGACCCCAGATATTAATGGCCTCATTAGGGACAAACTGTAAGGCTCTTTGCACTAAATCAAGCTTTGTAGCTGTGTACGCTGATTGGCTGCAGTCACGCAAGCATATGAAGAGAACGCGACATTGCTGTGTCTTACGTGGGGAGGGAAATCTATTTTGGTTGGACCTCCCTAACTTCTAAATATGGAAAAAAGAAACTGCTGGCAGTACACGATGTGCACACACTATTCTGAAATAATCGCTTCATCGAGTTGGAGCTGTTGGACTGGCAGCCAGTGCTTTTGGCAGCGTCGATTTCCATCTTCATGAAGCTAAGTCAGACGTGAAGAAGTCTGGAGCGCTCGTAAGTCGGCCTGCAGTCACAACCGCGCTTCCATCTTGCTTTGTAAATGGAGCGGCGTGGAGCTGCGTCGTCATTCCCACGTGATCTGACGGATGATGTGACGCAGGCTGGAGTGAAACAATCCTACTGTAGACTGGAGAGCCACATTGTACTGCTCCAGAGAGCCATATGGTGAGCTGCACAGACGCAATCCCTCCATCAATCCTACAGGTTGAGGACATTTGGAACTCATCTCTTATCTTGGCCAGTTTTGCTTCGTCGCTCTCACTTTGATTTCTGGAGGCCGTCTTTCATTTTCTGTCAGAAATGCGCTCTTGAAATTCTTCCACATTCCAGTTATCAGTTTGAGGGGGATCAATTAATAATTATGTCAAGAGGCTCAACAGGCCCATAGAGCATGCAGCCAAAGACAGAGCGGAAAGGAAAGAGAAAGATGGTTAATCCCTCTCCAAGCTCACTTCAGTCATAAATACTGCAACTGCGCCATATAATCTTCTACTAAAAGATTAACATTTTCTTTGGTTTGCATTCACCTACAAAAGTGACATTTATAAAAGCACTACTTCGGATATTTGTGCAGAGCATTGCAAACATTACAGCTTCAGTAAGGGAATATTGTAATTCTACTTTCAGGGACGGTGCATGAGTTCAAAGTTATCACGTTTTAAAGATACACAAATACACTGAATATGGACGTTAACTGACTGATCAGTTGTGAAATGAAGAATCTGTCTATATTCGAGTGTATCAGTAACCACACTGTCCGCTTTCTATTGTACATGATTGTAAATTTAAGGTAATGCTTGTCAGGTTACTATATATGAGTCAAAGTGCCCCAAATTCACTACTTCCTGTCCTAATTACATTAATGAAGAAGAAAAAGAAGAAGAAGAAGAAGAAGATAAATTGTTGTTTTCACTCTTTTTAATTGTTATTGTAGGTTGGCTGATTAAGAAACTGGTGTACAGAAATGTCAAAGGTATGTCTAAGGGCATTTAGGAACTGTGTCACTATCACATGCTTTGCCAAGTCTGACAAGTTTATTATTAATACTATAAAATGTTCTGTTCAGTAGATACTCAAGTCACATTTAGAGATCCTTAAAATGTTTGTTTGTTTTTTTTCATGTAAAAATGGATATCACCAGATTTCTTTAATACTTAAATATAAACATCAGCCATAACCCTAATTTTAAGATCTCATCTAATGCCTCCATTAAATTAACAGGTTTTCTCAGGATGTTCACATACAGCGTGTAATTCACCATGCTGTATTACACCATGGTCTGTTTAAGTATAATTGGTATAGTAGATATGCAACAAAATAACATTATATTTAAATAACAAGCATGCATGTGTCAAATGGATTTGAATATGCTTATGTTAAATGATGGCACGAGATGACTGAATCCAATCGTGAGGGTCTCGCAGATTTTTTATTTTTATTCCTACGTAAAATCTTCCAATAAACCCGAGAGAAATTGCATTATCATTACAATGGAGGGAGGGCTCCACTCCCTCTGCGTTTTCCTCTCCTGCCTCAGGAACACCCCTGCACATATTGGATTGTACATAACGGATTAAAAGGCTATCCCACGACAGCCCTGATCCTGAGTGTAGCTGAGAGTACTACTCCAACCATAAGCCCCTCACATGTCAAATTACGGATTTTAATTTTAAAAATGGGCGTGCAAAGGCTATTAAAAATGTTATTCGACACAAAACTCCCTCAATTATACTTACATAAGGACACTTTTTTTTTTTTACCAACTTAGAGGATCTCGTTTCAAAGCTCTTATCGGCATCAGATTACATAACAGATGATTCAGAATAGAAGCTGCTGTACTTGCTGTGCATCATTGTACCAAATAAACCTGCACAGTGCCTGGAAGATGTACTGTATGCGAGCAAGCATCCATTATCAATAACAACCTCCCAACGCCATCACACCTGTACACACTGACAGGTGCTTCTGGACATGCCACGTGTTTTATTCTTTTGCACAATGTACCTTTAACAGGGACACCGTGACTCAACCCAGAGGGCTGTGTGTGTGTGTGTG